ATCTATGCTACTTATTTTCTGTACCTTCTCCCCCCTTCTCCTCTTCCCACTCCCCTGTTGCTAACCCTCCTTGAGATCTTCATTTCTATGTTTCCACTCCTGATCTAGCTCTCCTTTTAGTTTGCTTTTGTTTTAGGTGTGGTTGTTAATAACTGTGAGTTTGCTGTCCTTTCACTGTTCATATTTTTTAACTTCTTTTTCTTAGATAAGTCCCTTTAGCATTTCATATAATAAGGGCTTGGTGATGATGAACTCCTTGAATTTGATCTTATCTGAGAAGCACTTTATCTATCCTTCCATTCTAAATGAAAGTTTTGCTGGATAGAGCAATCTTGGTTGTAGGTCTTTGGATTTCATGACTTGGAATACCTCTTTCCAGCCCCTTCTTGCCTGTAAGGTCTCTTTTGAGAAATCTGCTGATAGTCTGATGGGAACTCCTTTGTAGGTGACTGTCCCCTTAGCTCTTGCTGCTTCTAGGATTCTCTCCTTCATTTGAATCTTGGCTAATGTAATGATGATGTGCCTTAGTGTGTTTCTTCTTGGGTGCAACTTCTTTGGTACTCTCTGAGCTTCCTGGATTTCCTGGAAGTCTATTTCCTTTGCCAGATTGGGGAAGTTCTCCTTTATTATTTGTTCAAATAAGTTTTCCACTGGTGGCTGTTCCTTTCCCCCTTCTGGTACCCCTATAATTCGGATGTTGGAGCGTTTAAAGATGTCCTGGAGGTTCCTAAGACTCTCCTCATTTTTTTAAATTTTTGCTTCTTCACTCTTCTATTTGGCCATTATTTGCTTTCTTCTGGTCCACTCCATTGATTTGAGTCCCAGTTTCCTTTTCATTGCTATTGATTTCCTGTGTATTTCCATTCATTTCAATTAGTTTCGCCTTCATATGTATATCTAATTTGTGGCTATAATCAACCAGTTCTGTGAGGATCTTGATCACCAGTGTTTTAAACTGTGCATCTGAGAGTTTTGCTATTTCTTCATTGCTTAGATTTATAGGCTCTGGGGCTTTGAGATCTTCTTGAGCCATTTTTGTTGTGTTCAGGCCCGTTAAGTACGAGGAGGGGAGCCTTGGACTCCCAGGTCGCTGGGTTGTGACTCTGTATATGGGGGCGTGGTCAGAGTGGGGTAATGGTGGCCCCCTCTGCTGTTTCTACTGCTGGGTTAGGAGCAGAGCCTCAGGTGGTTCACCAGGGCAGGGCCACTTAGGTTTCTGGGTTATGATGTTGTATGTGGAGGCAGGGTCAGAGTGTGGAAATGGCTGTGCCCTCTGTTGCCACTCGCCACTGGGGCCTGCTGAGTCCCGTCCAATCGCCCACTCCCCTGTTTGTCTATCCACGCACGGATGGGAGACCACAGTCAACCCGCAGCCCTGCTCCCTTGCTGTTTCCCCGCGGTCGCTTGCTGAGCTGCCCACCAGGTCCAACTCTGCACCTGGATTCTGCACGCCTGAGTTCGTCTGATGGAGTTTTCCTGTGCAACCCCGCTCCTCCAGCTGCTGGTTTTGCCCCTCTTACTGGTCAGGCTGAAGAATTTGTTGTTATCAGACTTCCGAAAAGTTCAATTTTCTGTTTTCTGGCTGTGTTTTCTGTTGCTAATATTTAGTTGTCTCTAAACTTGGTTGTGTGAGGAAGCACGGCGCCTCCACCTATTTTTCCATCTTGGCGGAAGTTCCTCCTTTATTATTTTTTAATACCCATGGAGTCTATATGATGTTCCTTCTTTCATTTCTGAGATTGGTAATTTGCATTTGCTCTTTTTTTCCTTAGTTTGACTAGAAGATTATCAATATTATTGGTCTTTTCAAGGAAGTAGTTGTTTTTTTGTTGACTTTTGCCTGTTGATTTTCTGTTTCGTTGATACTCTAATTTTTATTATTTCTTTCTTCTGCTTGTCTTGGATTTAATTTTCTCTTTTTTTCTAGTTTTCTAAGGTGGAAGCTTAGATGGTGGAAGCTATAATAATAGCTTTATTATATTTTATTTTCGTTTTTTAAAGATTTTATTTGTTTCTTAGAGGGAAGGAAGGGAGAGAGGGAGAGAAACATTGATGTGCCAGAGAAACATCAATTGGTTGCCTCTCACATGGGCCTGACTGGGGTCCTGGCCCACAACGAAGGCACGTACCCTGACCCAGGATAACACTGGTGACCTTTGGTTTACAGGCCAGTGCTCATTGCATTGCGCCACACCAGCCAGAGGTAGGTAGTTGGTTTTAGATTTCTCTTTTAATGTATGCATTTGGTGCTAAAAATTTCTCTCGAAGCACTGCTTTTGCTGTATTCCACAGATTTTGATAAATTGTTTTTATATTTTCATTTTGTTCAATTTTTAAAAGATTTCTCTTGAGATTTTTTCTTTGATCCATGTGTTATGTAGAAGTATATATTATTTAACCTCCAAGTATAACGTGATTCTTCCAGCTTTCTTTCTGTTTGTTCCTAGTTTAATTCCATTGTGTTCTGAGAACAGGCATTATATAATTTCTAGCTTTTTCAAATGTGTTAAGGTCAAAAGGCAGATCCATTTTTAGTTTTCTGAAGAAATTCCATACTGTTCTCCATAATGGTTGTACCAGTCTGTAGACAGTACAACCCACCAACAGTGCCCTAGGTTCCCTTTTCTCCACAACCTCTCCAACACTTGTTGTTTTTTGCTTTGTTTATGATGACCATTCTGACCCATGTGAAGTGGTATCTCATTGTGGTTTCAATTTGCATCTTTCTGATAGCCAGTGAAACTGAGCATCTTTTCATGTCTCTGGACCTTCTGTATGTCCTCCTCAGCAGTGTCTATTCAAGTCCTTTGCCCATTTTTTAATTGGGTTGCCTGTCTTGTTAGAGTGGAGTTGTATGAGTTCTTTATATATTTTGGAGATTAAACCCCCTTCTGAGGTATCATTGGCAAATATGTTTTCCCATATGGTTGGTTCTCTTTTTAATACTGTTTTCTTTTAGCTGTTTTTGACCCAGCAATTCCACTGCTAGGATTATATCCTAAGAACCCTGAAACACTAATCCAAAAAGACCTATGTATCCCAAAGTTCATAGCAGCACAATTTTTAATAGCCAAGTGCTGGAAGCAACCTAGGTGCCCATCAGTAAATGAATGGGTCAAAAAACTATGGTACATTTATACAATGGAATTCTAAGTAACAGAAAGAGAAAGATGGAACTCCTACCCTTTGCCACAGCATGGATGCAACTGGAAAGCATTATGCTAAGCGAAATAGGCCAGGCCATGAAAGACAGGCGCCATATGATCTCACCTTTAACAGGAATGCAATGAACAAAATAAACAAACAAACAAAATATAACCAAAGATACAAATTGAGAACAGGTTGACAGTGACCAGAGGGAGAGGGGAGGGAATTTCAGGGCAAAGGGGGAAGGGTTTGCAGAACAAGTATAAAGGACATAAGGACAGAAACAAGGAGGGGGTGGAAATGGGAGGGAGGTGGGGCGGGCTTGGGGGGTGGGTTGGGATGAGGGTAAAAGGCAGAAAACTGTCCTTGACCAACAATTAAAATAAAATTAAATTTAAAAAAATGTGTTAAGGTGTGCTTTATTGCACAGAATGTGTTCTAATTAGGTGAATGTGCCATAGGAGCTTGATAGGAGTGTATCCATCACCAGTTGGATTACCTAGTTGATAGATATCAATTATATTCAGTTGATTGATGGTGCTGTTTAGCTGAACTGTGTATTTTGCTGAGGTCTCCAACACTAATGGTGGATTGATTTATATATTTCTACACTCTGCTATTAGGCATGTACACATTAAGAATGTCTTCATGCAAAGTGACCCTTTATCATTATGTAATTTTGGGTTTTATTTCCCTGAAAACTTCCCTTGCTCTGAAGTTGTTTGTCTGAAATTAATATAGGTAGTTTAGCTTTCTTTTGTTAAGTGTTGACATAATATTTGTCCAGTTCTCTATTGTTAATGTATATGTAAAGTGAGGTTCTTATAGACAACATATAGTAAGTTCTTTTCTTTTTTTAATCTACTCTCACTTCTAAGTCTGTCTTTTAATTGGTCTATTGAGGCCATTAATGTTTAAAGTAAGAATTAAAGGGGTTGGGTTAGCAGCTACTATATTTGTTACTGTTTTCTTTCATTACCCTTGTTTTTTTATTCCTAATTTTGTCTTCTACTGTCTACCCTTTGTAGTTTTTATGGTTTCATTCTCTGTCCTTTCTTAGTGTATCAGTTACTTTTATAAAGCTTTTTCTGTGGTTGCCCTAGAATTTATAATGTACATTTAAAAAATATGTAATATGCCTTTGGCCTGATGGCTCAGTTGCTTGGAACACTGTCCAGGTAACTAAGATGGGGGTTCGATCCTGGTCTGGCTGCATAAGATCCTTTGTCTGGGCGTGTACAGGAGGCAGCCAGTTGATGGTTCTCTCTTGCATTGATATTTATCTCTCTTTCTTCCTCTGTCACTGAAAAAGAAATGAGAAAATGTTCTCGGGTGAGGATTTAAAAGTATATATATATATAATGTTTCATGAATTTGCCTGTCATCCTCCTGTCTGGCCATGATAATTTCTATTTTTAAAAAATTTTAGTATATGTGCTGCTGAAGTGAGTACCAAGTGTGCTTTGATTTTATCCTGAGGGACTTTCTAGCAGTCCTTTCCTTTTAGTTGGATATGATACGAGACAGACATGATCACTCATCCCTGAGTGCCAACCCTGAGAGAGTAGAAAATCCTCATGTTTTTTTCACCAACTGGTGTCTGCTGCTCCCTTGCTCTGGTGTCAGGTTTAAACTCACAGGCAGGTGCCTCAGGACCCCACAATTTTACTGTTGCATGTTTTAAGGACTTTTGGTTCCTAGACATCACTTCTCCTTTATCTTTAGAACTGCCATTTCTTCTCTGGAGATGAAAAACACCAATAAGCCAGCTCTGTTGTAGAAGAAGTTACTGTGATCACAGTTCTTAGGCTAACCAAGTAACACTTTTATTCTTTTTTAATTTTTTTAAACAGATGTGATGTTTTCTGGTACAGCAGATGGCCGGGTTATAAAATTTGAAAATGGTGAAGTAGATACCATCGCCCAGTTTGGGTCAGGTCCATGCAGTAAGTCAGTTCCAGTCCCCCTCTTGTATGTCTCTTCCAATCATTCAGGAAGGTGCCAAATGGTCCTGTTTAAGTCTGGTTCACCCTTGGAGAAAAAGAGCCCTGACCACCTGGCAGATAGCCTAACTTGGGTGTTATCACATGCTCTTTATTTGCCAGTGGTCCTTGGACCTTATGGTGCCTGGTTGTCATCTTTCATGTCAGTTTTACAGCAAGGCACTGGACATGGCACATGCTGGTTACTTCTCAGCCCTACCACTGGCCATTCTGAGAGGCCTGTGCTCACTTTTGAGGTAACTTGAAGATTAATAGGTGTTATCTGAGTGCTGCTAGAGCAAAGCAGTTGGCTTTGTCATTACTTGGATACTTAAATGTGATTCCTGCTTTAGCTTCTCAGAAATTTCAGCAGTGTCATTCAAAGTAAAAATACATTGAAGTCACTTCAATTTTAGAAAACTAGAGTAGAATAATCTTATTATTCAAACACTGGTAGTCCTGACTTCATATTAGTTATCACTTTTTAATAGCTAGAATGTTTTTATAAAAACGATGCATTTTCATTGTGAAATGCAAACAACGCAAAGGTACAAAGAAGAAAGAAAAAATCACTTCTGATTTTTTTCAGATGTAACTGTTATTGACATTTTAATGAATAACTTTTCAGATATCTTTCTGTTCATGGATACTTATAGCCATCCATGGTTATGAGGGATGAAATCATACTTTACATTTGGTTCTTTACCCTGCCTTTTTCCAGTCTATATTTTGGCTCTAAATACCTCTAGTAAGCACTTCCGAGGTAAGTGCCCCTACTTCTGCCATAAGCTCCTCCTCTGTAGTAAGCACTCTAGTAAACACCCTACAGTGGGTATTCTTTAGTAAGTACTTACAGTAAGCACCTCACAATAAGCGCTCCACAGAAAGACAAATACCATATGATCTTGCCTTTAACAGGAAGTTAAACAACAAAACAAACAAGCGAGCAGAAAAAAAAACCAAAAAAACAAAAACACTGAAATAGAGAACAAGGGGATAGTGACCAGAGGGAAGGAAGGGAAGTTAAGGGGAAAAATGGGGAGGGATTTGGAGGAACAAATAGGAAGGACACAGGGACGAGAACTAAGGGGGGTGGAAATGGGAGAGAGGTGGGGAGCAAGGGGCGGGGGAGGCTGGGATGGGAAAAATAGACAAAAAACTGTACTTGAAAAATAACTAAATAAAATTTAAAAAAAAATAAATCTCATACTAACTCCTAACAAAAAAAAATAAAAGAAGAATAAGAAAGAAAAAAAAAAAACAATAAGCGCTCCACAGTGGGCATTGTGCAGTAAGCACCCTGCAGTAAATACGCATTGCCACAGGTTTTAAAAGAGTGTAGGTAGTAGAGCAAGAGAGTTAAACTAAGGAATAAAGTAGTAACTCTCCCTTTATACCAGGTGGAGAGAAAGCCATCATGCTCCTACATAGGGAGGCCATTGGGATCAACCTCCCAACTCCTGAGGTTCTGTGGGTATTCTTGCGTTGAAACCTGGTTCCTAGTGATATACCCGAGTTAACCGTTCAAGTCTCAGGGTGCTGATGTGAACATGATTCTTTGGTACCAGTTGCTGTGCTTATATCCAGATCTGGATTCTCAGGCGGTACCTCTGGACATGCTGGACAGTTGTCCTAAATTCTAGTGCACTAGAATACTGGGGGTGGGTCTGTCCGCAATGTCATGGTCTTTTTTGTTCTCTACAGCACTATGAGTAGTTAGGAAGGGATAGATGAGATGGGGGCACAGACAGAATCAAGACCAGCCACCAAATTATGTCCATTTGTTTCTCTAGAAACCCGAGATGATGAACCTGCCTGTGGGAGACCTCTGGGCATCCGGGCAGGGCCCAATGGGACCCTCTTTGTGGCCGATGCCTATAAGGGACTATTTGAAGTAAATCCCTGGAAACGTATGTGACAATATTTTGTTTCCTTCTGTGATGATATCAAATTTTTAAAACAATATGTACATAAGTGGATTTAATAGTCTACTGGAAACACTAATATTTTCTTACTTATTGATTAGTACTAAAAGCATTACCTTACAAATATCAGCTGATATAAATACCACATAAATTCCCACTCATGTTCATTTAGTTAGTGTCCTAATTTCCTCTGGTGTTTGTGTTTTGGCTACAGGTCTCAATAGGACTTATTTTGAGGGTGTTAGACCTTCTCCTTCCATCTTTATTTTTCTATGTCTTTATGTTTTATCTTGCTGTTTTTCTGCCTGTCAGATTTTCCTTAACCTTACCCTTTGTCTCTGCCTTCATTTTCTTTCTCTAGCTCCTCCTCTCATTCCTCTCCCTTGACTGGTCAGGATGTCATCTTGAGTAGCAGTGTAACATTTGCTGTATGTGCTTTAGCAGGGGATGGTGCTATTATGGAGGGCTTTGAATCACGGGTGGTTCATGGTACCCTGGGTTCAGGCACTACAGACTGACTGCATGGGTCTGCTGTGCCATTGGCTGGCTTTGTGACTATGTAAGTTATTTGTCCTCTTTGTGCTCACTTTCCTCATTTATGAATAGGGGTAGTGTAGTTGCTTGCCATGTGGGATTGTTGTGAGAGTTTAAGTGCTATACATGAAAAGAGCTTAGCACTTAATAAATGTTTTACTCTTTAAAAAATGTACTACCTTTCTTATTTCTTTATTTAAAAGCAAATGAATAGAACATTTTATATTTCTCTCAAACAAATAGAAAATTGGCTTTTACCTAAGACTTTTAATAGATTTTTAGTCAGTCTTGATAAGAAAAAAATTCCTAATCCTTTGAGAAAGGGTTTTTGCTTTAATGTAGTCTAAAAAAAATTCATCTTGTAGTAGATGAAAGGAAGAAAAATAAGAAGGAATAAGTTCTGACATGTGGCATGGAGAAGCTCATTTTAGTTTTTCTTTTTAAGTCAGGCTAATAAAAATTTTGAAATAATTGAGGTACAAGTTCTTAGAATGAAAGCAAGTCTCCTTCTCCCTCCTTTCTTTGCTTTCTTCCTTTCTTTTTCTTCATTGCTACTTCAGGTGAAGTGAAACTGTTGCTGTCCTCTGACACACCCATTGAGGGGCGGAAAATGTCCTTTGTGAATGATCTTACAATAACTCAGAATGGGAGGAAAATTTATTTTACGGATTCCAGCAGCAAGTGGCAAAGACGAGATTATCTACTTCTGGTTATGGAAGGAACAGATGATGGGCGGTGAGTATGTATTCTATATCTTCTGTTCAGTAAGATCATTAGTTGGGCAAGGTGAATTTAGCAGAGGTATAAATTCTGGAAATCTTAGGAGTATTTCTGAGCATGATGTTTCAACATTTCAGATAGGACCCTAATGGCTTCTGGAAATGGGCGATAGATGCAACAAAACCAAGCAAGTTGGTCTTAATTTTCTCTTTGATGAGAAGAAATAAAAATAGGCCAGTCCATGTGCATGTGTGGTCTATGCAGTTTGGGAAAGGCCTAGAAGCAGGTCTAGGTTTTAGGTCACTCTAAAGGAGGACTGGAGCCATGGTGGCCTCCTTGGTGCTGAGGCAGCTCCCAGGTCAATGAGAGACCTGACTGGGGGATGTCTTGAGGAAGATGCCTGGGGTTGCTGTGGGTGGGGAAGGGCCCCCAGAGACAAACCTTGAGCCATATTTGAGCAGGGGACCACCAGTGGTCTTCATTCTAGTGTAAGGTTGAGTTCCCTTTCTCAGGTCCCTGCCCAGAGGGGAGCAAGGCTCCCAGTCAGCAGGAAAGTCATGTACTCTCCCTGTGTGACCCTTTGCTGTTGGCATCCACAGCCTGCTAGAGTATGATACAGAGACCAAGGAAGTAAAGGTTTTACTGGACCAGTTGCGGTTCCCTAATGGAGTGCAGCTTTCTCCTGCAGAGGACTTTATCCTGGTGGCGGAGACGACCATGGCAAGGATAAGAAGGTGTGTGTAGTATCTGCTAGGCTATCATTGATCACCAGAGCTCCTTGTGCCCAGGATGGTCATGGAGGTGTTGACGGACAGAATCTGAGAATCAGCAGGGCACCTTCTCCTTTGTGTAAAAATGATAAATGACAAATAAGTGCATTTTTATCCTCCCATTTCTCAGACTACTTGAGTGTCAGAGTCTGCAGACTTTTAATTTAATTCTGACAGTGCATCCAAGGTTCCTTTCCCTATCAGTGGGTCTTGGCCCACTGGTTTTTCCTGAAACTGTCTAGCTGGACCGAGGGTTCATGAGTACTTCTTTCAGTAGGTATTCTTTGTTTATAATAGACATGTTTATAGTTATTTCCATAAACTTATTGGAACCAAGACTAATTTGGTGCTTGGCTAAAATGTTTTCTTAAATTAGGGAGGCTGCTGCTCATACCTACCTGCTTGGGTGAATTTTTCAGATTCTACGTGTCTGGCCTGATGAAGGGAGGGGCTGACCTGTTCGTAGAGAACCTGCCTGGATTCCCAGACAACATCCGGCCCAGCAGTTCTGGAGGGTACTGGGTCTGCATGGCAACCATTCGCTCCAACCCTGGGTTTTCAATGTTGGATTTCTTATCCAGGAGACCTAGTATTAAAAGAATGATGTTTAAGGTAACTGAAAACTATAATTCCAAAAACCAAAACTATAATTAGAAGATATATCCAATTATGATTTTTTTATTGATACCTCTGAAAATTCTAATTCTGCTTAAATATTTAGTACATTTAGTGACTGATGTGGACCCCGGCACGTGGGGTCTGCGACATTGTAGATGAGACACGAGGCAAATTCACATGGACTACCAAGTCCTGTAGAGGAAAAGGGATGGCATGGCCACTGTCTCAAGAGGAGAGCATCCCAACCCTTGCGTTGACAGGCTTTTATTGCTTTTTTGGGCATATTACATGATGGCCCTCATTTACTATGCACAGGTTCACTTTAGGTGGTTACCTTTTACAGAAAACAAAGGAGAGGATGTTGCTAATTACTTCAAAGAAAAGGATGTTGCAGACCAAGGGCAAAAGTGGTTGAACCAGTTATACTCCATACCGAGGAGGTTTAGCACAGACTATAGGAAGTTATAGTAAGCACTTTCTGCCTCAATTCAGGGTGAGGGAGTTTTAGCAAAAGCAAGTCTCAAAGAGACCTAGGTACAATGCAGGCCTGATTCCCCATGGGAGAACCTATTCATGGGTATGAGTCCTGTGCATCGGACCTTGCTTTTCACTGGGAGCTAGGCCCACGCTATGCCGAATGGTATCCTGTAATGATTTCTTTAATACACCTTTTATTTTTCAGCTTGACATGTAAACTTAACAAGTTTGGAGTCTGATTTTAACAAGACTCCAAACTTAACAAGTTACAAACATGTTTGGAGTCTGATTTTTTTTTAGGTCTGGGTGTTTTTAGCAGCACTCTTACTATCATGACCTTTTGGGGCCTATATCCTGTCAACCTTGCTCTTGCTCTGAGACGGCTTTTTTCAGACCTTCTCCCCTGTCCTCCAAACTCTGCAACCTGGCCCTTCTCCTTCCTGCTAGCAGACAACACTGCTTCTCCTCAAAGGGTTATCAGATGACTCTTCTTGTGGCCATACATGTAAACCCACTCACCTTTGGACCTCGTTCTTCTTGGTCAGGGAGGCTTTGTTCCCTCCTACCTTCTTGGTTGGTCACCCACCTCTATAGGATGTTGCACACCGAATTCTTTTCCATTAAAAAAAAATTATCCACCCTCACCAGTAGCCCTTCAACATAGCCTTTAAGTGACCCTTTCAACATAGCCTTTCAATGTTTGTCATTCTACCCTTTTTTCCAGTGATGTCCATGAAATGCCCCAATGGAACTTAACATGTTTTACCATGGGACCAAGTAATTTGCTGATACTGACAAGTGCTTTCTTAAGAAAGCAATCTTATTTTCTGAAAATCTTCATCATATAGACTGAATAGTATTTGAAATTGCTCTTGAATATTTTAATAGATAATAAAATATTTGTAACTTAAAGTCCTGAAAGGTGCCAGGCTGCTTACTGAGCCCATGTGGTGCCAGGACCTGTGTCTAGGCCCTGGAAAGGGGCTGCATACACTTGTTTAGTCAGGCTGGCCCATGGCTTTCAGTGTTGTTTGAGTTTAATGGGTTATTGTAAAAAATCATAATCTGTTCAGAAACAACACATTCCTCTTCTTTGTCTTGTTGGCTTCAGAGCCAGAATCTGTCCCCATTGGAACTTAGGAGGAGGCAGAATGGTAGAATGGGCAAGAAAAGGGGTTTCGAGGAAGACTACATCAACTGTGGTACCATGGGCAGGTGTCATGGTCTCTCTGCCTCAATTTCTCCATCAGTGAATTGGGAATTCAATAGGTGATGAAAAAATGTAATGAGAATATGTACAATGTGCACTTTGTGGAGTGTAGTAAGTGTTCAGTTCCTGTGCCTGTCATCAGTTTTCCTACAGCAAGGATGTAATCTCTTAGTGGTGGGTGTTTGTTTCTTTCCCTTGATAGAAAGTGTGCTTCTTCCAAGTGGGTATTGATTATGCTATTGCAGTTGTCCCAGCTTTTCCCCTTCCACCCAATACCCCCCACTTCCTCAGGCATTCCTCACTGCATTGTGAATGTCCATATGTCATGTGTATAAGTTCTTTGGCTACTCCATTTTTTATACTGTACTTTACATCCCCATCATTGTTCTGTAACTACCTATTTGTACTTCTTAATTCTCTCAACACTTCACCTATTCCCCCATACTCCCCTTCCACCTGGCAACCATCAAAACACTCTCAGTATCCATGAGTCTGTCTCTTTTTTTCTTGTTTGCTTAGTTTATTTTTTAGATTCAACTGTTGATAGATACATATTTATTGCCATTTTATTGGTCATAGTTTTGATCTTTAATAAGTCCCTTTAACATTTTATGTAAGAATGCTTTGGTGATGATGAACTCCTTTAGTTTTTTCTCATCTGGGAAGCTTTTTGTCTGCCCTTCAATTCTAAATGATATCTTTTCTGGGTGGAGCAATCTTGGCTGCAGGTCCCCACTTTTCATGACTTTGAGTGTTTCTTGCAATCCCTTCTAGCCTGGAAAGTTTGTTTTGAGAATAAGCTGACAGTCTTATGGGAACTACTCTGTAAGTAACTAACTGCTTTTCTCTTGCTGCTTCTAAGTTTCTTTCTTTATCTTTAACCTTTGACATTTTAATTATGATATGTCTTGGAGTGGGGCTTCTTTGCATCCATTTGTTGGGGACTCTGTGCTTCCTACAATTGTATGACTATTTCCTTCACCAAATTAGGGGAGTTTTCTTTCATTATTTTTATCAAATAGATTTCCAGTTTCTTGCTTTCTCTTTTCCTTCTAGCACCCCTATGATGCATGTTGGAACACTTTGAAGTTGTTCCAGCGGCTGCTTACACTATCCTCGTTTTGTTGGATTCTTTGTTCTTCTTGTTGTTCTGGTTGGTTGTTTCTTTCTTACTTATGTTCCAAATCATTGATTTGATTCTTGGCTTCATTAGCGAATCCTTCATTTCTGACGGGATCATTTTTATGGTGTCAAGGTCCTCAGTAAGTTCCTTGAGCATCCTTATAACCAGTGTTTTCAACTCTGCATCTGATAGATTGCTTTTCTCCCCTTTGTTTAGTTCTTTTTCTGGAGTTTTGTTCTGTTCTTTTGTTTGGGCCATGTTTCTTTGTCTCCTAATTTTGGCGGCCTCCCTGTGCTTGTTTCCATGTATTAGGTAGAGCTGCTATGACTTCCTGTCTTTGTAGCATGGCCTGAAGCAGTAGGTGTCCTGGTAGGGTCCAATGGGACAGCATCTCCTGTCACTCAAGCAAGGTCCTCGAGGTGTGCTTTTCATGTGGGCTGATTACACCCTTCTTTTGTAGTTGAGCCTTGATTGCTGTTGGCAGGTCAATGGGAAGGATTTACCCAAGTCAGTCAGCTGCAAGAATCCGCTGTAACCACTGACCACCAACCTCCACCCTTGTGCAGGATCAGCTATGCAGGTTCAGGGTGGTAGTGCTCCATTGTGTTCTATAGTTGTCCACTGGATGTGCAAGCCCTGGGGTTTCACAGGCGGTATGGGCCAAGCTGGCACCCCTCCCACCCTCCGTCTTTTGCTTGGGCCCACCCTACCTGGACTATAAAGCAGTCTGAGATGGCTGGTACTTGTGCTGGGCTTGGAGATTTCCAGTTGAAGCTAATCTGTGAATTTAGGCTGGCTGCTACTAGTGTGGGCCTAGGGCCACTTAGTAAGAGGCATGGAGATCTGGGGGCTCACTGAGGTCAGCTGTTGCTTCTTTGCAATGATTTAGGAAGTTGTGAAGCATGAATCAAGACCAGCCATCCATATGGAAAAGTCTCTGTTTGTTAACAGCTTGGAGTCTCAGGATCTCTAGGGCAGGGCAAACAGTTATAGCCAGATTGATGGAGTCTCAGATATAGCACCTGCATGCTGGCTTGGTGGCTCTATGGAGGGAGGGTTCAGAAAAGGGACAATAGTCTCTTCCTGCCTTTCTTTCTGGGGGAAAGCTGTATCCAAGCTTTCCCTTGATGTCAGGCACCTCAGTTCTTCCCTGTATGCCACTGGTACCTTTTAAGCTGCAACCCTGGTTCTGGAGCTCAGAGGGAGTAAGTCTTAGTAAGTCCATGTGTGGGTTCTTAATTTAAGAGGAACTACTTAGGACTCCAGAACTTTCCCCCAGTGACTCAGTCCCTGTTGGTTTTTGCAGCCAGACATTATGGGGACTTATCTTCCTGGCACTGGAACTCTGGTGTGGGGTTCCTGGTTTGGGGCTAGGACTTCTTGCTCCTGAGATATCCCTCCCAATTTTTTATCCAACACATGTGGATTTGGGACCAGCCTGTTGCATGTGTGTGCCCTATTACCAGTCTGAATGGATGTGGTTTCTTTAATTTCATAGTTGTCAGGCTTCCATTCAACTTGAGTTCTGATGGTTCTGTGTGGTGATTGTTATATAATTTAGTTTTAATTTTAATATGGTTGTACAAGGAGGGTAGCCATGTTTACCTGTGCTGCCATCTTGACTGGAGGCCCCACAGCAGGTATTATTTTCTGGTTAGTTCACTGAGAACAGTGTGTGGCACACAGTAGGCACTGAGAAGTTATTATTGAATACATGAGTGATTAGAGAGCTGAGACCATAAATATGAGGCAGAAATGGAGTGGCAGGATGTGTTTCTGGTGAAATGTGATCAAAATCATCAAGGATTTTTTTGTTTTTAAGTTTTGAGACAATATCAGACTTAGAAAATTAACTAGAAGGGTACAAAAAAGCTTTCACCAACTGTTTGCCAGTAAGTTGACCTGATGCCCCATTCTCCTCAGATATTTCCAGGATCACAGGACTTGTAGGAGGTTAGATTTTATTCAAAATGTAATCAAAGTCACTGAGGGTGTTTTTTTTTAAGTTTTGAGACAATATCTGACTTAGAAAAGTAACAAGAAGGCTACAAAATTTTTTTTCACCAACTGTTTACAAGTAAGTTGTTGACCTGATGCCCCATTATCCTCAGATACATTAGTTTATTTCCTACAACAAGAACATTCTCCCTTATGACCACCTGTCCAAACAGGAAATTTACATGTGATTGTCCAACACATCCAATTCAGGTTGTTCCACTTGCCGCAATGATGTCCTTTAGTTCTTCAGTCCAGGATCAGGTGTGGCCTGTAGTCAATACACCTCTTTATTCTCCTTCATTTTGGAACAGTTCCTTGGTTTTAACCTGTTGGTAGATTACAAGTCAGTTATGTTTCATGGTGCCTTTCCATTTGAGTTGTCAGGTATTTATCATACTTAGATTCAAGTTATGCATCTCTAGCAGGGAGACCACAGAAGTGAAGTTGGGTTTTCAGTATGTTTTGTCAGGAGGGAAGTGATGTAACCTTGTCCCGTGCTGGTAGTGGCAACATTTATCATCTGATTCAATGGCAAATGCCAGGTTTCTCCTGTAAAGTCATTCTTTTTCCATTTGTAATTAGTGGGTACTTTGTGGGGAGGTACTTTATAACTGGGTAAATATCAGTATGATCTCATGGTTGCTTATTATACTTAATGGGTTGTATAATCTGTTACTATTATTTATTTTTTAAGATTTTATTTATTTTTAGAGAGGGGAAGGGAAGGAGAAAGGGAGAGAAACATCGGTGTGTGGTTGCCTCTTGTGTGCCCAATACTGGGGTCTCGCGCACAACCCAGGCATGTGTCCTGACTGGGAATCAAACCCACAGCCCTTTGGTTTGCAGTCTGGTGCTCAATCCACTAAGCCACACCAGCTAGGGTTCATTATTTATTTTGATTGCTCAGTTGTCCAGCTTTGTCCAGTGGGAACCCCTTCAGTGTGGCTTCTTGACCTTGGACATGCAACTACCATTCTTGGAATCATCCATTTGCCCAAGGAATCCTGGTTCTTTTTAGAAGAAATCTAGGCTAAGGGTACACATTGATTTTTGGGCTCATTGCTCCCAGGACCCTTCAGCGAACAAAGCAGAGAATGTATGCATGTGTAGACATATATACACACACACACACACACACACACACACATATACACATACACACACACTATGCACTATATATATAGTGTATGTGTATATATATATATATGTACATATATAGTGTATAAACATGTTTACCAACATTTTCATCTGTTTATTTAAATTGAAAACCATAAGTAATGCTGGTATCTTTATTTTTAGTCCAATACCACAGGACTTATTCTAGTTTTCTCCCTTTCTATATTTGTACTTCCTTTCTCTAATAGCGAGAAACCTGGATCTCATTATCCTTCATACCTACTTGATCAATTCCCCAAATATCACCAATCTGTAGCCATTGTCACATGACCCCTGCTAGGGCTCTAGCACCAACCTTCCTCTTCCTGACCATGAGAGGCAGCCAGGCTTTCTTCTGAAGGGCTCTGATATCTTCATGACTATCTCCCAGATAAACACCTTCATTATCCTGCCTGTACTCTTATAGCCTGTGTCAGGCCACCCCACTACGGGAAAACTGTCTCAGCCTGCTTGAGCTCTGACACCGTACTCTGTGTTACTGCCCTCTCCCTTCCTTTGGCATGGCCACTCCCTTGCCCTATTCAGACTGACTCCCTGGTCTACGTACATCATCCCTGCTCAGACCCACAAGCTGCTACTTTACTGAATTATTTGAGAGGGAGTAATGTACTACAAATAATGTTTTTAAAAGATAACTGAAGGTGCTGTGTGGAGAACAGCCTGTAGTAGGGCTCCGCTGGGTTTGGGAGCCTGTGTGGAGATGGTTAGAGTAGCTAGGAGAGGTAGTGGGGAGAGTTTAGGGAAGGTGTGGTACATGCATAGAAGATGACAAGACACCTTGATGCTGGGCTTGTGGGGTTTGAGAGAGGGATTAAATGTGAGGGCTGACTTTCTGGTGTCAGCAGCTGGTGTCAGGAGCCCCATCTCCTGAGCTGAGGAGTCTGTTGAGTTTGAATAGCTGTTAGAAAGTACAGGTGGAGATTGGTCCTGGGTAGTGAGGAATTTAGCACTGGGCACCAGAAAATAAAGGTAGAAGTTTGAGAACTTTCTAGAAAAGTGACTAGTTAAATTAATGGGAAGGTATGAGATCTCTTTAGGGATAAGATGGAGAGAGTGGAAAGGGGAGGAGTAATGGCTGAAGGGAGGTGGCATTCCATGGGTCCTGGAAAGTTTTATGGAATATTTTGAGCTGTAATGCATCTTTGATTGGTTGCTATAGTACCTTCTAGAACACAGTCTCCTTGTATGTCTGAACATTTCCAGTGACTAGGAAACATTATTCATTGGACATTTGTATTGTGTAGCTGTTTTTCCTTATATTAGAAGGTAGTCCTGGGTGGTGTAGCTCAGTGGATTGAGTGTTGGCCTGCAAACCAAAGGGTCACTGGTTTGATTCCCAGTCAGGGCACATGCCTGGGTTGTGGACCAGGTCCCCAGTAGGGGATACACAAGAGGCAACCGCACATGATGTTTCTTTTCCTCTCTCTTTCTTTCCCTTCCCCTCTCTCTGAAAATAAATAAATAAAAAATTTAAAAGAGAAATAAAAAGTTAAAAAAAAAGAAGGTAGACATCTGCCTGTTAATTTTCATTTGTTCATTGTGTGTAGTGGTGTCCTTCATCATTTCCTATGGGTATCCTTCTGTTCTGCCAGATACTACATGTTACCATCTGTTTTTCTTTGCCTAAAACCCTTCAATAGCCCTGTGGGCCTCTTGGCCCAGCTGAGCCAGGGGCTAGGCTTCTAGAAGGTGCCTACTCAGCATAGAAGTGTTTGATCTCGGCACTGGCTGCAAGGAGAGCCTAGAACCATTGTCATGTTTCATAGGGCAGGGACATGTTCATTTGACCTGCTGAGGTTCTTTTACATGAACCATCATTTGCATGATGCACAGCCAAAATATCTTAAATACGATCAGAGGGCTTGGCATTTATTCTGGTGGGGCTTTGCTGGTTTTAACCTGGCATTTTGGGGTTGATGTCACTCTAGACCTTGGCCTCATGTCATGTCTTCCTTGGATGTGATTTGTGCTTCTCTGTGTTCAACCAGGTCATCCAGAGAGGTACCTATGTGGCAAGTTTGGTGGGTATCACATAAGAACTGTCAGACAGCCTCTGTCGTTGTGCTTGGTTAGCCTTGCCTCTTGTATGTAAGTGACAGGAGGCGCCTTTGCTTGATCTACATAGGAGGTGGGACTTAGACCTGCTGTGGGACAGGCCCTGTGCTAGGAATAGGGAGCTGGTTTATCCCTAGCTCTGCCCTATATGGCTTCCCTTTCACTAGAGGAGCTGAGCCCTTTCCAAATGGTGAGGGGCTGTGGGGTGTTTTAAAAATTAAATTCAGTTGAGTAAATTTTAAAGAGCTTAATGGCTTTATTCAATGATTCATGCACCAGGCAGGATCCAGTCTCAGAGACAGAAAGGAGCTCCAAGGAATTGTACAAAATGAGGGACTTTGACAGGCAGAAGGGAGCAGGAACAAATATGTCATACTAAGTAAAAATCAGGTTGGTAATTGCAAGAGCACTTTCCTTTAGAGGACAGCAGGGGTCTACTAGACAGAGTACCTAACTAGTGCTAATGGGGGATTCTGATTGACTGGCTCAAGATTTCATTTGTGGGAGAGCCTAAACTATAAGTTTACTCTTGGTTTGGAGATGTGGAGCTTACTGTCAGCTATTTCATTATGGGCCTGTTGTCTTGTTTTTAAAAGGTTGGACCTACTTACAGTCTCTTAGTCAGAAGATAAACTCTTTTCCCATTGTGCTTCCCTTCCAGCTGTTTAGTCAGGAGATGGTGATGAAGTTTCTGCCATGGTATAGCCTCGTCCTAGAACTCAGCGACAGTGGGGCCTTCTGGAGAAGCCTGCATGATCCGGATGGGCAAGCGGCCATCTACGTCAGTGAAGTGCATGAACATGATGGGCACCTATACCTGGGCTCCTTCAAGGCCCCCTTTCTTGGCAGACTCAGCCTTCAGTCTGTCTAGCTGTCCTGATTGCTGCCGTGATCATGGCTCTGCCAGGAGTCACCACACTGGGCACCACACCTGATTTAGTACACCATGGCCACAGCCCTTTTCACCTGTGGTACTGGTCCTTGGAAGTGTGGTGTGACCCTGTAGACATATGGGCCCCTGTACGACAGCCCTCACCTGGGCTTGACTTCTCATGTAAAGAGAGGCATAACATCTGCCATTGGAAGATAAGTTCATGTAAAGCTATTTTCTCTTAAAAAATCCTAAGTATAGTAAATTTTCTGGGACTTAAGGGACATCATGTACTTTGAGCAAGCCTTAGGCTTTGGTGGATAGAGCAGTAGATGAGTTGTCTCTGGATCTTGTTTTAGCTACTGACTCTGTCCTGTCAGCCTCAATGTCTTTATTATAAAACAGGGTAATGCCTATCTTACAGGGAGAAGCACAGGAAGGGCAAGGGTTGCTCAGAGCAAAAGTGCATGGAGGCCAATGGGTGGAGCTATGCCAGCACTGATGTTAGCTCTGCATTCTCCAGAGTTGTGTGGGACTTGGGATTTCCTTGATCCCTGGGATTTCCTTTCCATTGCTCCCACCCTCCATCCTACTCTGGCTCCTAACAGGGTTTTTGTTAAAACTCCCGAGTCCCATCAATTATATAAAGGTAAGGAAGGACCTGAGTAAGTGCATAGGAAAAGCATATTGATTTCAACAGCTCCAACAGGACTTACTAGGTTTTTCTCTGAACAACCTACCACCCAAATTGAAAGACCCAGCAGCTGGGTGAATTGAGGGCAGTCCTGTTTACACACGTTGTTCCTCACCTCTAGATCCACAGATGTGAATAGTACACGTGTTAATGTCATATTCACTTGACTGTTACAAGCCTGAAAGTTGCTGTATGTCTACATGCTGGCCGTAATTTTGTTAGGGAGACCCATGAAATGATGATAATTAAACTTTTATGTGAATTAGTCTTTTTTGATGATGTTGCCAAGGAGTTTCCTCTCTACTTTAAATGTAATTATTTTAACAGTGACAGAAATTTGATTCCATCCATTGTTGATATGGGAATTGTTTTGGCTAGGACCTTATTTCAGGGACAGGCAGTTCATCCGATTTGCTTAGGACCTCTCATGAGGTAGCAGCCAGGCTCAGCCTCTTCCATTGCTGCCTCCCAGAATAAATTCATTCTTGAACAAGTTGATATTGTACCGCTTTCTTGTTTTCTAACCTACAAAATAGGTCTGTTTCTATTCTGTCCTGAAAACAGGTTGTGCCTCTAGGATAGTTACATTTTTTTCAAGATTCATTTTTAAAGATTTTATTTATTTATTTTTAGATAGAGGGGAAGGGAGGGAGACGGAAAGAAATGTGGGTGTGAGAGAAAAACCTCATTCAGTTATATCTTGTATGTGCCCCAACCAGGGGCCAACCCGCAACCTAGGCATGTGCCCTAGACTGGGAATCGAACCAGCAGCCTTTTGCTCTGCAGAATGATGCCCAGTCCACTGATCTATACCAGTCAGGGCTCACTGGGATAGTTTATAAAGAATTTGACAAAAACAATATTTTACTTTGTTTTTTAAACTTTATTGTTCAAGTAGAGCTATCTGCATTTCCCCCCCACTATTCTCCACCCATATCTATTGATATGATCATGTGATTTTTGTCTTTCCTTTTGTTCATGTGATGTATTTCATTTATTGATTTGCAAATATTGTACCATCCTTGCATCCCTGGGATGCATCCCACTTGGTCATGGTGTATGATCTTTTTAATATATATATATTTTTAATTTTTATTATATTGATTATGCCATTACAGTTTTTCTATTCCCCCCTCCCCCCTCTACCCTGCACCCCCCACAATTTCCCCCCTTTAGTTCATGTCCATGTATCTCAAGTTCTTTAGATTCTATATTTCCCATACTATTCTTGCCCTCTCCCTATCTATTTTCTACCTACCATGTATGCTACTTATTTTCTGTACCTTCTCCTTCTCCCACTCCCCTGTTGCTAACCTTCCATGAGATCTTCATTTCTATGTTTCCACTCCTGATCTAGCTCTCCTTTTAGTTTGCTTTTGTTTTAGATGTGGTCGTTAATAACTGTGAGTTTGCTGTCCTTTCACTGTTCATCTTTTTTAACTTCTTTTTCTTAGGTAAGTCCCTTTAACATTTCATATAATAAGGGCTTGGTGATGATGAACTCCTTGAATTTGATCTTATCTGAGAAGCACTTTATCTTTCCTTCCATTCTAAATGAAAGTTTTGCTGGATAGAGCAATCTTGGTTGTAGGTCTTTGGATTTCATGACTTGGAATATCTCTTTCCAGCCCCTTCTTGCCTGTAAGGTCTTTTTTGAGAAATCTGCTGACAGTCGGATGGGAACTCCTTTGTAGGTGACTGTCCCCTTATCTCTTGCTGCTTCTAGGATTCTCTCCTTCATTTGAATCTTGGCTAATGTAATGATGATGTGCCTTGGTGTGTTTCTTCTTGGGTGCAACTTCTTTGGGACTCTCTGAGCTTCCTGGATTTCCTGGAAGTCTATTTCCTTTGCCACATTGGGGAAATTCTCTTTTATTATTTGTTCAAATAAGTTTTCCACTGGTGGCTGTTCCTTTACCCTTTCTGGTACCCCTATAATTTGGATGTTGGAGCATTTGATGATGTCCTGGAGGTTCCTAAGTCTCTCCTCATTTTTTTGAATTTTTGTTTCTCCATATTTTCCTGTTCGGTCATTTTTTCCTTCCTTCTGGTTCACTCCCTTGATTTGAGACCCAGTTTCCTTTTTATCACTATTGGTTTCCTATGCAGTTCCCTTCATTTCAATTAGTTTAGCCTTCATATGTTCCTCTAATTTGTGACTAAAATCAACCAGTTCTGTGAGCATCCTGATGACCAGTGTTTTGAACTGTGCATCTGAAAGTTTGGCTATTTCTTCATCACTTAGAGTTATGGGCTCTGGAGCTTTGAGATGATCTTGAGTCATTTTTGGTCTGTTCGAGCCCGTTAAGTATGAGGAGTGGAGCCTTAGGGGTGGGGTGGGGGCACCAGGGCGAGGTCGCTGGGTTGTGACGCTATATGTGGGGGCAGAGTGAGAGCGGGGAAATGGCGGTCCTCTCTGCTGCTGCCTGCCGCTGGGTCACGCTGGGGCCCGCTTGGTCCTATCTCACTGCACACTCCCTCGCTGGTCTATCTGCGAAGTATTGCGGCACCATAGTCAATGCACCGCCCTGCATCCTGGCCAGATCTGTGGGTTGCTCACTGGGTCGGCCCTTTGCAACCCCACACCTGGGATCGACACCTGAGACCATCTGACCCAGTTTTCTTGTGCAACTCCGCTCCGCCAGCTGCTGGTTTCGCCCCTCTTACCAGTCAGGCTGAAGCATTCATTGTTATCAGACTTCCGAAAAGTTCAATTTTCTGTGTTCTGGCTGTGTTTTCAGTTACTAATGTTTTGTTGTCTCTAAACTTGGTTGTGTGAGAAAGCACGGCATCTCCACCTATGCCTCCTCCATCTTGGCGGAAGTCCAATCTTTTTAATATATTGCTGCATGAAGTTTGCCAGTATTTTGTTGAAGATTTTAGCATCTATGCTCATGAGTTATATTGGCCTAAGTTTTCTTTCTTTCTTGTGTCTTTATCTGGTTTTGGGATTAGAATGATGCTGGTTTCATAAAAAGAGCTTGGGAGTCTTCCACCTCGAATTTTGTGGAATAATTTGTGAAGGATAGGAGTTAGCTCTTCCTTAAATGCTTTGTAAAATTCTGTGGAACCATGTGGTCCAGGGCTTTTGGGTGTTGGGAGGTTTTCGATTACTGCTTCAATTTTGTCACCTGTTAATTGGTCTCTTCAGGCTTTCTGCTTCTTTTTTGCTGAGTTTTGGAAAATTATATTTTTCTAGAAATTTGTCCAATTCATCTAGGTTTTCAAATTTCTTGGCATACAGTTCTTAGTAGTAATTCTTACAATCTTGTGTATTTCTGTGGTGTCAGTTGTAATATCTCCTCTTTCATTTCTGATTGTGTTTATTTGGATCCTCTCTTTTCTTTGTGAGCCTACTTAATGGCTTGTTGATTTTGTTTATCTTTTCAAAAAACCAACTCCTGGATTCATTGATCCTTACAATTTTGCTTTTAGTTTCTATGTAATTTAATTCCGCTCTGATCTTAGTTATTTCCTTCCTTCTACTTGTTCTGGGCTGTCTTTGTTGTTGTTCCTCGAGTTTTTGTAGGTGTGGGGTTAGGTTGTTTGTTTGAAATGTTTCTATCTTTTTTAGATAGGCCTGTATTGCTATGAACTTCCCTCTCAGGACTGCCTTGGGTGTGTCCCATAAGTTTTGGGTTGTTGTGAGTTCATTTTCATTTGTTTCCAGAAACTTTTTTATTTCTTCCTTAATTTCATCTTGACCCATTTGTTGTTTAATACCATGCCATTCAATCTCCATGATTTTGGGTGTTTCAGGTTTTTTCATTTGGTGTTGGTTTCCAATTTCAGTCCCTTGTGGTCAGAGAAAATGCTTAGTATGATTTCAATTTTCTTGAATTTGTTGAGGCTCTTTTTGCGTCCTGTCACGTGGTCTGTCTTTGAAAATGTTCCATGTGCATTTGAAAAGAATGTGTATTTAACTTTTTGGGGGATGAAGGGCTCTCTCTCTATATATATCAGTTATGTCCATTTGATTAGGACATTGTTCAGTGTTGCAATATCTTTGTTGATATTTTGTTTGGAAGTTTTATTTATTTTTTACAGTGGAGTGTTAAAATCCCCTAGTATAATTGTGTTGCTGTCAATATCTTTCTTGAAGTCCTCCAAGATTTTCTTTATATATTTGGATGCTCTTTTGTTGGATGAATGTACATTCACAATGTGTATGTCTTCTTGATGGATTCTTCAATTAAAATTTTTTAAAATAGGTAATGATTCTAAAATTCAAAGAGTATTGAGAACTGTGGCAAAATTTGAACCTTTGTGTCTTGTCCCACTATCTTGCTTTCAGCCCCTGCTTTTTTTTTTTAATCTGCAGCCCCTGGCCCTGAACCCCTTGTGCTGGTCAGCCCCATTTTGGGAGAAGGTAGCCTGGAAGCTAGTTGTGAGCTCATCTTGTGTCGCCTTAGTCAGGCTGGCTTTATGTTTAGCAATAGTGAAATAGTCTAGTTGATGCATCCCATATTGTCTCAGATAAATCACCTCGTATTATTTATGTAACTTTATAGGAAAGAAAATAGGGTAATGATTATTAAATATTTTAATAGGTAATGTTTCCCATATATTACACATATAAGAATACTAGGATAAAAACCCCATGATTCTGCCGAAAAAAATCAATTTAAATGTGCTGGTCCTAAATAAGTCAACTCCTTGACCGAGAAGGTAGGGCTTTGCGTTTAGTGCTGAAGTTTTATCATTACAAAGAAGCTGACAAGTTGCTTTTATCAGTTTTCAGCAGAGAAGTCTTTATTTGACTCAGATGTTCATTTTCTATCCCAAAGTATCATTTTCTGCATTTTGTTTGTTAGTTTTCCATGGTCACATGTAAAATACAGCCTTACTAGGTTTAAATATATGGTAGGCTTTTATGGTAAATATAAAATAGATTTGCTGTAATGTGAATTACTAACATGGTTTTAAAATTAACTCAAGTTGTTTGTTTACTCTGGGTTTCTTTATTATCTGTTATAAAAACTCCATGAAGATTCAGTTATTGCTTGCCCTGGCTGGTGTGGGTTAGTGGATTGAGCCCTGGGCTGTGAACGAAAGGGTCACTGGCTTGATTTCCAGTAAGAGTACATGCCTGGGTTGCAGGCCAGACCCCCACTATGGGGTGCTCAAGAGGCAACCACACATTGATGTTTCTCTCCCTCTCTTTCTCCCTTCCTTTTCTTCTCTAAAAATAAATAAAATCTTTAGAAAAATTATTCATTTATTGCTTTTTATGGGATAGAGGTCCCACTTTGATATTTTTATCATCAGTATACACTTGCAGAATGGTCTACAGTTTTGAAAGTGTTTTCATATACTCTGACGTTTTAATGATGCAAAGAGATAGAGAATGAGGTAGGGTGGTGTTCTAGGATGCCCAACTCTGGTGTGCCCTGGGCATCATTGTGGTTTAAAGTTTCACAGGTGGTCTCCATAGGTAGTGGTGAGGCATTCCTTGCTGTCTGGGCCCATCTGCAACCTTAAGAGGGCCTCAGCTGTATGAATGTCTGCAGCCAAGGGCAGGAGAGAGTCTCCATGCAATCAGTAAGGAGGTGTGGAGGCTCACAGCTTAAAACAGTTAGAACAGGACTATCTGTTAGAATTTTGATGGTTTTGTTGGTTTGTTCAAGTTTGAGAAAGTGTTCCTTCTTTTTGGTCACAGTTATGTTCTTAGAATCATGGATATATTACATTTTCTTCATGGCAATAACATTAGATGATGGCATAGCTTTCCCTCTGAGTCAGAGTAAAGCTGATGAGTTAAAAAAAAAACAGGTAGAATTTGGTTGGCAGTGCAGGACTTGAGTTCATCACTTGTTGACATCTAACACCTGCAGTAAGGTATCCTGTCTCCTCATGGGTGTTTGGTTTCATCTGTTGGAACACACTGCAGGGCTCTGGCAGTTCCTTCTCAGGTGGAGCTTTGGTGTGCTGAGTCTAGAGAAAACAATTTCTTATAGCAATCAGAGTTATGATGATGAAAAAAGTGGTTGATCTGAGACAGTTACTACATACATTGCCTGTGGGGCTTGCTCCACAGAAAGTTGGAGTAAAATATCTACAATGGTTTGGTTGGTGTACATATCTCTGCAGCAGTCAAAGGTATGCCAGCTGCTGGCTTCTGGATTTTAGGGTAGCTTCATACTGGCTCACCACCCAGCCCCTTTCCTTCTGGTGTTACCATGGCAGGTTTAAGAGTTGTTTGAAGACAAGCATTTACTTCTGTGAGGTACATACACTACATAAAACAGATTGGGATTGGGGATGATAGAACTATGGAAGCATTATAAAATAGAGCCTTTTCTACCTGGAATTCAGGCCCTGAGGCCCTCATGGAGGGAAGGTTTGCAGAAGCCTGAGGTTGGGGGCAACCAGTCAACTAGCTTCTTTGGTGGCTGATTTGCCATAGTTCTAAGACTTCTCTTTGTTAACTGTATAGGAGGCAGTAAATACCTGGCCCCAAGTGATGTTTTTAAAATTGTGGGTATAGGTTAGAGTTCAGACCTGAGAGTTTTGAGATCGGGATTTGAAGTTTCCTCCTCCCTTCTCCTGGCTGGACAGAGGACATGCAGGACTGGGTGGGAGGGGGTTCATATGCGGCCCCAAGCAGGTGTTCTATGAGGCTGTTCTCTCCCATAGCTGCATGTGTGTGGGAGACACCATCCCATGATGTCCTTCGGAGTCTCAGATGGAATGAGACTACCAAAATATGATCTGCTTGGGGAGAAAAGGCTGGTTAATCTCTCAGTGGAGAAGAGCCCCAATGTCTCTTCTCTTGAGGCATTTATTGGGATTGGTATGTGCAGGGGTATACAATATGCATGCAAAACTCATCAATCAATGCCCAAAGGCTGTAGTTAATAGAAAACAGATATTCCCTATAGATAACAATTGAGGAAACACAGAGATCTTCCTCAGGTCAGAGTCTGCTAGACAGAAAGACACCAGATGGCCACAAAGTTGGGAGGGCAAGACCATCCTCTGTTTTGAACCTAAATATCTGGTATACATTAACCCAGAGACATTCTTAGCAGGAAATAATTTTTCCTCTCTTCAGAGGAAATAATGCATTCTTTAGGCCTGATTACCTATGGGAACTTCTGTGCCCATATTGGGTCTTGTCTGCCTCTTGTGTTTCCTGGTTTTCCAGGGAGACTTACTGGCCCCTTTCAGGGCCTGTTTTTCACAGGGCTGCAGTCCCCAATACCAGGCCAGGTGGTTCTCCACAGATATACATTTTCATTTCTGACATTGCATGTAAAGCCAGTGGAGGTGGGAGCTATCTGGAGGTCTAAGTAATTTTTAGGATAGACTTGGCCTTGATGAACTCTGGCCTGTATTTAAATGTAAATGAAAACTGACTAGGAGCTCAGAAACTGGGATCCTCTCTTCATTTGCTGCTGTATCTTGCATAAATTATGAAAGACCCCTTGAACCGTGTCCTGAAGCCTGTCTTGCTTACACTCCTGGTGTTGGTGTTCCTGCTGTCTTATTAATGTGTCAACAGCTCAGTGAACTCATTAATCTTTATGAAAGGGTTGCCTTCAGATGCCTTCAGAATTGTAAGATAAATTAAATGTCCTGTGGCATAGTTGCCACCACTGTCCTTGAATTAAATGACCAGAAGGAGGTAAGTCAAAACACCAAAAATATGTGGGGATTTGGAGTTATAGTTTTACTGTCATCACTGAAGGAAGCTGAGGGTCATTCATTTTAGTTATTGACATTGATCAAGTTTATGACAGTGTGCTAAATTGCCATACAAATTTAATGCAAATTTTATCTTTCCTGTGAATTATTAGGTCCATATTTTCTAAAGTCAAACAATATATTTTGTACTAATCCATAGTTGGCAGAGGGTCTGGAGAGGAAGAATTCCAAAGTGAGGTGCCCCTGCATTTGCATCAGGCTTACTGGTGCAACTCCTGGGCTCTGCTGTATGGTCTAGCCTTAACACAGCTTCCAGTGCAAGCACAAGGCCAGTCTTTTACAAAGATGTTGGGTGTTCTCCTTCCCCTTTGCCCCAAGTGCAGTATGTCTACCCTTGACCTTGTCTTCCCTCTCCTGGGTGGGTATGTATGGAGTATGCTCCTCTTGGATGGGGCTGTATGTGGAGTATGGTACTCCCACTCTTTGGTGGGTCTCTATGGGTTGTTATCTCAGTGCTTTATCCTACCTCACTTGTCCAAGTACAGCTGTGCATAGGCTGAGCCTCAAAGGCAATGGAGAGAATTTAATGGATGCTCCCAGTCAGAAGAAAGCACAGCTGGAGGGTGAAAGCTGTCTGTGGGTTGCCATCTATCCTGCCAGTTCATGATATGGACACAGGCTGGCCTGTATCTGGCTGCTTTGGTCTCTAGTACATTGTAGCCATCAGCTAATGGCTGGGGTGCTTTATGGAGTTAGTTTGCTCAGAGCACTGAGGGGGGCTCCTGAATGCTCACCTCCTGAGTCTCCCTTTAACAGGTAAAAACAACAGCCATTGCTCTGAGAAGGTCAGTTCTTTATTCACATTTATTTATAACTTTTATCATCCTTGAAAGGTCAAGATGCTCTGTAGCAGATTTAGTGCTACAGAGCATCTACAGTTATAGAACTGAACAAAAGGATAGATAGATCTCTGGGCTTTCATCCGAGACCTGGGACCATGAAATAATCAGGGCCACTGGTAATTGGGTGGGAGGGGATCCCTCGGGGATTGAGAACCCGAAACATTCCCATTGGAGGATTCAGTCTAGAAGAGAATATCAAGTATTTAATTTAACTGTAGTACAGTCATTCTTCCATCCCAGCTACTCTGTAATGAACCCACAGATACTTCTATTCTGCTTGCCGGAATATACTATTTCAAGAGTGACAGTAGCTGTAGTATTGTGGAGAGGTGGAAATCAGTGCCAATTGAGAATGGGCACCTTGAACTTCTGGAGGCAGGGGATGACCCAAACTTCAGAGTAACAACAGAGAGTCTGGAACAAAGAAGGATACCCTAAGAATTGTGCTACCTGTCACAAAAGCCTCCCTCCCTAAAGAGGCTGCCCACTCCACAGTTTCCTGTGCTGCTGCCTGTGGGCTGTATCTGTGTGTTTTGCACACATGTGTGTGCATGCATGTGAGCATTTTCCTTATTGAGAAATGTTATCCTTGCCCTGAGATTTTATTTTAAAAAATTTAGAGACTTCCAGTCAAGATGGAGGCTTAGGTAGATAACACTTTGCCTCCTTGCACCACCAAAAGAAGGACAACATCAAGTTTAAAGACAAAACAGTAAGAACTGACAGAAAGTTGAACTGTATGGAAGTCTGACAATGAAGAAGTAAAAGAAGAAAAATTCATCCAGACCAGTAGGAGAGGCAGAGATGGACAGCAATGACAGAGAGGACTCGAGGCAAGGCAGCAGCTGGAAGACCAGGGGGGTGGTCCCACATTTGCACACAGATAAACCAGAGGAACAACTGGGTAGTGAGACAGACCATGCAACCCAGGGCTCCAGTGTGGAGAAATGTACCCTCAAAACCTCTGACATAAAAAATCTATGGGGCTTGAGGTGGCAGGAGAAACTCCTAGCCTCACAGGAAAGTTCACTGGAGAGACCCACAGGGTCCTAGAATGTACACAAAACCACTCACTTGGGAATCAGCACCAGAAGGGCCCCATTTGCTTGTGGTTAATGGAGGCAGTGACTGAAATCTGGCATAGCTGAACAAGTGGCATTTTGTTCCTTCTTGGATCCCTCCCCCACATACAATGCTACAGTGCAGTGACCTGGGTTGCCCTTCTGTGAGGAATACCTAATAAGGCTCCACCCATTACTGCATCACAGGCATGCCCAGACCAAAAAAAAAAAAAAGGCCCAATAAAAGAACAGATCAAAGTTTCAGAAAAAAATACAACTAAGTGATAAAGAGATAGTCAACCTATCCAGATGCAGAGTTCAAAACACTGGTAATCAGGATGTTTACAGGATTGGCTAAGTCACAAAGTAGAGGAAAAAGTGGACTGAAAAGTGAAATAAAGGGAAATGTACAGGGAACCAGCAGTGACAGGAAGGAAACCGGGGCTCAAATCAATGATTTGGACCAGAAGGAAGAAATAAACATTCAACCACAATAGAATGAAAAAACAAGAATTCAAAAAAGAGAGAGACTTAGGAACTTCAGGACAACTTTAAATGTTCCAACATCCAAATCATAGGGGTGCCAGAAGGAGAAGAGGAAGAACAAGAAATTGAAAATTTATTTGACAAAATAATGAAGAACTTCCCCAATCTGGCAAAGGAAATAGACTTCCAGGAAGCTCAGAGAGTCCCAAAGAAGTTGGACCCAAGGAGGAAAACACCAAGACACATCATAATTACATTACCCAAGATGAAAGATGATGAGAGAATCTTAAAAGCAGCAAGAGAAAAGGAGACAGTTGCCTACAAAGAAGTCCCCATTAGACTTTCAGCTGATTTCTCAAACGAAACCTTGTAGGTGAGAAGGGGCTGGAAAGAAGTAATCCAGGTCATGAAAGGGAAGGACATACATCCAAGATTACTACATCCAGCAAAGCTATCATTTAGAATGGAAGGGCAGATAAAGTGCTTCTCAGATAAGGTCAAGTTAAAGGAGTTCACATCACTGAGCCCTTATCATATGAAATGTTAAAGGGACTTATCTAAAAAGAAGAATAAGATAAAAAATATGAACATGATAATGAACTCACAACTATCAACAACCAAACCTAAAAAGAAGAAAAACGAACTAAGCAAACAATTACGACAGGAACAGAATCACAGAAATGGAGATCACATGGAGGGTTATCAGCTGGGAAAGGGAGGGAGTAGTGAGGGGAAAGTTACAGGGAATAAGAACCATAAATGGTAGGTATAAAATAGACAGGGAGGTTAAGAATAGTATTGGAAATGTAGAAGCCAAAGAACTTATATGTGGGACCCATGGACGTGAACTAAGGTGGGGGGAAATGCCTGTGGGAGCAGGTGTGTGGGGTGGAGGGGACTATAAGGGGAGGAAATGTGACAACTGTAATAGCATAAGCAAAAAATATACTTAAAAAATGTTAAACCTATAGAAACATTGAAAGAATAATTTAAGGATTTATACTTTTTGCCTGTATTTATGAATTATTACTTTGCCACATTTGCTTTCTACTGTGTATATATACATTGTCCCTGAACATAGATGTGCATCTTAGGGTGAAGCTGGGGGGGAGTGCCCCCTCCATGTCTGTTGGGTAGTGTCAGATACTGGGAAAACTGACTTCAGCTATGATATCTGGAACCATGGCTCCAAAGATGGGATGAAGGACTTTTTCTCAAAGCCCTGGACAGTGGGTGGGGCTAGGGAAACAGTGAAGGGTCTGAGGAGGTGAGACCCCTTTGTTTTACCAGCTTTAAGGTGTGGTTGGTCTGGAAGTCACAGTCATCCAGAGTGGGGTGCTTGGTCTTCTTGCAAGTAGTTCTGCCAGTTTCCATATCCAGCATGTATTTCAGGCCTTTCACTGTCTAAAGAGAGCAGAGGGCAGGGCCTGGTTTGGCTCAGCAGGGATGGCACCTACTCCCACAGCAGAAGGTGGCTTGAAGATAGGTGGTGAAGATGTCCTGATGGGACTTGTCTATGTCCTGGAAAGGGGGTGAGTGGTAGATAGGGAATGTGGAACTTATTTGAACTTCAGTGGGAAGAAAGTCTGTAACTGGATCCCAGAACCCTTCCTCTTCTCTCCTTTGTTCACTCATTTTCTCATTCCTGCTCAGGGACTTAGCTCTTGGTCCTGGGGGCAAAATGCACACTCTGTGTCCTGTCTTAGGACATCTCCTTTCTTCCCAGGACTTTCCATCAGGCATTATGAGGGTGACAGACTAGGGTTGCCCTGGGGCTCCCCTGGCTCCAGGGCAAAGATGAAGTCCTGAACTGCTACCCCATACCCTGCTCATGCCTTAAGCACTCACTGTTGCCTGCCCTCTGTGGCCTTTATGTGGCATGAGTGCAAGCAAGGGTATCTGCTGGCTCCCCTCACCATTCCTGGGCATTTTATTTTTCAGTTTCAAAATAACCCATCTTCACTCGGATGTGGCAACAATTTGGTTCATTCCCTCATTTGTGATCTCAGAGGGTTTGGAGAAAATGTCCGCAATTTTCAGTCTCAGCCCTACCAAGTACCAAGTGAAATAAAAGTCCTCAACGTCACTGAGGGATAATGCACTTCTCTCTCCAAAGGCACTTGGCACAGGGCTTATTGTACTTGTGTTCCTGCTGGAGGCCACAGCCTCACCCGGTCCCTGGGGGCTGGGTCCTTGTAGTGATGACACTTGAGCTGTTCCCGTGGAGAACCTTGTAACAGCCATCCCCATACCATAGTGCTTTCTACATGACACATTTCTAATCATAAAAATACACTGCTCTCAAAAGGTTTGCAAAAGCCAAAAAGTAAAGAACATTATAAAAATCACCTGTAATTCTATGACCCAAAGGTAACCAACCATTAATAGTGTGTAAAATCTTTCAGCATCTTTCCTCCTTCCCTCGACACCACACCTACATGAAAGTGTAGATTTTGTCCAAAGCCCGTTTCCCACATTTGGGAACTTCTTTTTAAATGGCTGTACAGTATCCCCAATTTTAGTGGCAGAGACTACAAGGCAGCCACCTCCTAATTGTGCCTTGTCACCATTCTGTATCCCATATCCCAGGCTGACCCTGTGTTCTTTGAGACACAGATGAGTAAGACCTGGCTCTGCCCTGTAGGGTCATTTCTAAGAGGGAAAGTACTGAGCCATCTGTGTGACAATTTCACAGGGTATGACATTGAGGCAAGACGAGGAGGAGGGGTTTGCGTGTGGGAAGGGGGTGCATCTTGGTCAAATCTCTGATGTGAGAGAACAAGTCCCAGGAATTGAATTTCATAAGGTCTTTTGGGGCTGTGGCTCTGGTGAAAGGGTGAATAAGGCAAGGGTGGGGCCCTAGGCAGGCTCTGCAATAGTCCCCTCCAAGGGGTCAGCATCTTCATCAGTTTAGTTCCCATTGCCTAGCTGCTGGTTTCTCCCCACCCCCAGCCTTCAACATGCCTATCTCTGGTCCCAGTTCTACCTCTACCTTCTGTGTTACCCCTGGCAGCTCTACCCAGGAGAACTTGGTTTCAGTAAGAGATGGCTCCAGGATCTTGTGCCAAACTCCGATAACACTGGTTTGGCCTGCTTTGGGACTAACTGTGATTGTTACTGTCAGTCTCTGGGTCTGGTCTGTGTTTTTCATGGTCAAGGCACTAGACAGGTGGGCCTCCAGTAGAATAGGAGACTACAGCCTGGCCTTATGGCCCTGAGATGCTGGGCTCCAGAACCCAGACCTCACCTGGACCAGAGCTCTGCTGACATGGGACTTCTTGAACAAGAAGATGTCATTTGTGTAGTTGTTGAACCTTTCAACACTGTGTCTGGCTGCTTTGAGGACTCCTGGGTCATTGATCTTGATTGTTTTGGGAAATCCTGGCTTCAGATCTGAGGTAAAGGTCTGGGAACAAAAATCTGAAAGAAATATAACCAGACAAAAACATTGCTGTTAGTAGAGTAGGTTCCAGTGTCACGCCTCATACCTTAGTGTTTAGTGCTCTTCTCTGCCCCCTTCTCAGGACCTTAGCCTGTCTAGTTCCTCGCTCATCTGCCCTCCTCTCACCAGTCCGTCCTCCCCTCATCTATCCACCCTCCACTCTCCTGTCCACCCTCTCTAGCCCATCGAGCCTTCACCCCACAGTGCAATTCTTTTGCATCCCCTGGTTGCCTGTACTTAAAGCTGTGGACCAGGCAAGGTGGGTGGTACAATGATGGATAAGATGCAGTTCCTGTCCTTCCCACACCCTCCTTCAGAACGCAGGGGATTTCCAATGTGTGTTAAAGAAAATCTGAACATATCTAAAGGTGGAAGAGACTCTGGACATGATGCAGCCTCAGGGTTTTAGGAGAAGTTGCTCCAGTTGGTATTCAATGACAATGTCTGGCCCTGATCCCTCAGCTGGTCCCCAACAAGTGGATCATGAGGAAGTGTCCAAAGTCTGATCCTGCCTTCTCACTTATAAGGAGGCTGCTGCTATCCTCTGCCTCAGGGACACTTGTTAGAACTTACACAGCTTCCAGGCCACACTCCCAGGGGACCCCATTCCCCAGGCAGGTCCATAGCAACTGGTACTCTTCACATCATGATGCTTTCATGCTGCTTTCTTCTGCACTGTTTTGAGGACAGGGCCAGACCTGAGTTACTTTACCCCACATAGCTCCTCTATGGAATTGGCATGTGGTAGCAGGAGGCCTGGATTTCTTCCACCCTTCCATGCTCTTCCTGTCCTGAGGAGGCCCATATTTGGATAAAAGATGGGAGAAGCAACATGAGAGTTTTCCCCTACCATCACATACTTCTGCCTCTGACAGCTAGGCAGAACCAAGGACCTGGTACCCCTTCTCTGCTCTCCACATCCCCCTCTCCTGGTTTCCACAGCAGCAGAGTCCAGGTGGACCAAAAGCCCCTCTCTAAAAGGACAATCTGACTTCACTATTTTGTTTAGCTCCTCCATGGGATGAGCCCTCCTCATCCTGAAGGTGCAGGGGACACACAAGCTTGTGTTTGCTGGAGCTCATGTTCCACAAATAAATAGGCAGGGGTTTGTTTGTAGGGATGTAGGGTCTGGCTGTACCATCTGCACAGATTCAAATGGAGGGCCTGAGAGCCAGCTGTGGGCCATGGGCAGAGGTGTCTCAGGGCTCAGGGGACCAAGTGGCTGAAACGAGGAGGGCACAAGGAGAAATGCTGAGAGGCAAGGCTGGCTTGATGTGATTGTGCTTAGGTTAAGAACATTGGATTTTATTATGAAGAAAATAGAAATGTAAAAAACCCACAAGCTGTGTGAATTGTGATAAGTAGAAATGTCCTTTTCTGTGTTGTGGGCTCATGGGTGAATTTGTCAATTTTACTACAATGGTTATATACTACTTATGTATCAAAATAACAAAAACTTAAAAATATGGGGGGGATCTAAATAAATTGGGGGATCAGGAGAGTGGGAAGAGAGTTTTTAGGTCTGTGAACTGCTTCTCTTTACTAAGACTTTCCCCCAGATTTTCCTGAGATGTTAGCATGCCAGACATGACCCAGAGCTGAGCTGTCCCACAAAGCTGGCACTAACCCAGTCAATGATTTTATTCCATTAACTAAATGAAATGAAATGAAATGTAAAGTTCAGATTTTGGTGGCACAGTTGATATCAAATGCTCTGCATAGTAGCCACAGGTGGCAGTGACTACCATCTGGGCTGGTGCAGACAGGGACTATATTTTTGCCGAGGTAGTAGGTATAGGAATGCAGCAGAGGTGCCCAAGCAATAGGAAGTAGAAATGTGGTGTGAGGGCAGCAGCAGTGCTAACCAGACAAGCTTCCAGTTTAGAGATTCCTGCTGCTCTGTGCTCCCTCCTCTCTCCACACAGACATGTCTTGCTGAGATTGGAGACAACCAGGTGTATTTGGGTTATAGACATGGTCTGTCTGAGAATATAATACTGGGCTTTTGGGGGAGTCAAAGTACCAGGTGATGCCCTGGTAGTAAAAAAATAAAAACTTAGGGAGGAAAACATAAGAATGTATTCAGCAGAGCTTGGGAATTTTAATAGAGAAGCATTATTCTAAGGGAGTACCCCATTCATGAGGACTGACAGAAGAGGGCTGAGAGAAGTACCTTTTACCTTGTATTGGGGGTGGGATTAGATATGGCCAGTGGGTTGGCAAGGCTAGGAGAAATGTAAACCTGAACCACTTGAAGATTTGTGCCTGGCAGAATGGTACCCTTTGGAGCTGTATGCTAGCTATGGCCTGCCTGTAAGGCTGTGCCAAAGAGTCCAGGGAATGAGCCCTTGTTGGGGGAAAGGAGCATTATTACTGGGCACAGGGTCTCTGAAACAGACTGTCCATATGGTCCTGGGCTAGAGTTGGTAAAGCATTTTGGAATATAACCCATGGGACTAGCATGGGTTACACTGGTAAGAAGAGGGGGCCGGAAGCTCAGCTCAGTGGGGAGGTCTTGCCTAGGGTGTCAGTGATCTCATCAACTTAAAATAAGAGGTCCAAGAGGAGGCTGTTTCCACTGCCAACTTAGGATTTAGGCAGTGAAACCTGAGTGCTTGAGTAGATGGCATGCACCTGAGACACCCACTGAGAAGTAGGATGGCTGGGCATCTGTGTAGCTGGCTCCGTGCAGCCCACCTACAGTCTCCTCTCCCCTGTGGGTGCTGCAGTGGAAGGAGGCTGAGAGTAAGTTCCATTACCCTGAGGGGTGTCCCACTGTCTCTGGAAGACCCACACTGCCTGACCAAGTGGTCTCTGCCTGGCCAGTGGAGCTTCCCCAGCTGGTTCCTTGGGGCCAAACACAAATGTCAAGACTAAGTTCATGATTCCTCTTCAGGGCTCCCTATGCTTTAGCAGCCCAAAGGACATGGCCTTTCCCAACAGAGGACTATTGCCATCTGTAGATCCAAGGTTTTCCCAGAGCTTTGTCCCCTACAGATGTCCTCTAGATTATCCTTTGCAATAATTCAGCCTTTAAATGACATCCTCACAGAAGCTGGGCTTGAACCTTCAGTTGTGTCTGAAGCAATGAAAACTGCTTCAGTCCCTTAAATGACAGGAGCAGTTTGAGCAGGTTGAGCAGGTTGATCAGGTTGTGTTAGGTCCTGAAACCTTTATTTCCCTGTCTCTCCACTTGGCTTTGACTCAGGTGGTGATGGAGATCTTCTTATGCCCTTGCATGCTGATGTTAACATGGCTGGGAGGACTATTCCTGGGGTACCTGTGCTTACTGACCATAGGGAAATTGGTGTGGATTTCAGTTGTAATCAAAAACTGTTTTGGAAAACAGTTTGGTTTCTACTCATCACTGAAGTCTACACAGCAGAGAAAGAAAGAAGTCCCTTTCTTTCAAATTTTCCATTATTACATGTTCTCCCATTCCTTACTATGGATTAATATATTCATTGCTTTTGCAAAATTACATTTGTTGCTTTTTCTGATTATAAGCTTGCTTATTTGGGGTAGGAAATTTGAAAAATACAGAACAGTTTAACAAAAATATTAGAAATCATTCTCAATATCTCTAGGTTAGCCACTGTTATCTGTTTTTTAAATAAAATGGCTTATATTTAATTTTGTTTGAGTTTAGCAGAATTAAAGCAATGAAGTGAAGTCAGGTGAAGCTGAACCTCAGATGAATGTGATGTTACTTACTAAATGATTTTGGTCAAGTTACAAAAAAGTTATGAAATACTTTGAAATTGCTTTATTTTCATTTAACATGTTTCCAAAAGTGTTGGTTTCAAGTCAGCACAGAGGTCCAAACAAACAGCACAGAGGTCCAAACAGACAGCACAGAGGTCCAAACTTCCCTTCAGGGAAGAAAAACAGGTGTTGACAACATGGCGAGGTCCCTGGGCCCTAACACAGGAGTCAGTCCCTCCTTGTCTACTGTCCTCTGGAGTGGAGTTTGTAGTTTGCGCAGGGAAGCTGAAGTCTGGGGGAGCAGAAGAAGCCTGCTTTGCAATCACTTCTCACACCTCTGCAGGGGTGGTGTTTGCATCTCCATCTTACAAGTGAGGAAACGGGCCTCAGAGGAGAGCAAGGTAGGTTTAAATCTAGATTTGATTAATTCTAAAGACCATGCTCTTCTTTTTGTCATTCAAGAAGTATTTTTTGGCGGCTGCTATGGACAATGCAAAGATGACTCTGATACTAGGGAGTCTACAGTACAAGAAGGAAGGCAGCATGCAGACCTGGGCTGGGCAGGTTCTAGGAGGGTGACTAACCAATAAAGAGAGTGCTGAGGGGAGCGAGCTGAGGGCAAGGAGACCAGTGAGAAAGTGGTAGTGGGAAATGGCCTAGGTAAGGAGGAGAGAGAGCTGAGTGTGAAGGCAAAACTGACAGCACTCAGTGTGGGAATAGGACTGTGATGGCCTGGGAGACATGCACTGAAAGGACAATTGGGGGAGGAGCAGGTTGGTACGAAGAAACAAAACATTCTTCTGCAAAGGACCAATGCTGGACTGGAGACAAACTGTGCACAGTTGGAAAGAAGTGAACTTTTTCCAAATGAGGGACGACTCCCCCATTGCCTCTACACCTCCCAGAACAGCACAGAGAATAAATACATCAAGGCCCAAGGTTTGGACATGCAGTGTTGTACTAGGCCCTGGGGACCCGAGCCACGCACAGCCTCGTCTACAGTCACATGGGAAGGGAGGTCGAAAGCACCCAGAAAGGAGAGAAGATGAGGGAATTTGCTTCACACTATGGCTCTGCCAGACCAGTCCAGGAGCAGGACACTCCAGAAAGTACTCCCTACTCCTCACAGAAAATAAATTGCTCTTTGATTGGTCTTGAAAATAATGATTCTAATGACAGGAGATCCAGGGGTGGGGAGGTGCCGCTGAGGGAGAGGCATCCCCACCCTAGCAGGATCTCTCTCCCGTAGGGTTTGGAGACATGGAGAGGACATCAGGATGACCAAGAAACTGGTCTGGCCACTGAGCAGATTATGCTGTGCTTGTGACCCAGGTGCCACCCTCAGGGCACACAGTATAATAGGAGGGACAAGCACAATGTGCAGATACAAAATGCTAAAGTACTTGGAAGAGGACAGTTGTGTTCCAGCCCTTAGGGCGTCAGCATGTAGCCAGCTGCCTTAGCCAGGTGGCTTTAGTTGGTTGAGTGTTGTCCAGTGCCCCAGAAGATGGCAAGTTTGATCACTGGTCAAGGCACATACCTAAGTTGCAGGTTCAAACCAGAGGCAACTAACTGATCAATGTTTTCCTCCCTCTCTCCCCTCCCCTTCTTCTCTTGTCTAAAAATCAATAAATACATTCTTGGATGAGGACTAAGAAAAAAAGATGCAGCCAGCTTTTCGCCTCTGGGTATGGACTCCTGCCTGGAGCAGTGCAGATAATGTTCTCAGAACAGGCCCTGGAGAGTTGGCACTGAGACCCAACATGTGGGTAGGAACCAGCCACATAGTGTGGAGATACAGACCTTCCCTACATGCCTGTGAACAGCTCAGCCTTGCTGCAGAAACTGAGACAACTAAGGGTGCCCCTCAGGCTCCGGGCTGTGCAAGGCCTGCACCAGTGGACCCCTGGGCCATCCTCTCTGTACAGTCACCCTAGTCCTCTCCAACCTTCCATGTATCAAAGATAACCAGAGGTCTTCTCTCTGTGGTTATCAGAATGGGAAGCAAAGCTAAATTCAAGGAAACACTCTTATTTTTTTCACTTAAAAATGTGATTTTTCTATACAAATCACAAATGGTTCCTACTCCAGCATCCTTGTTCCTGTTGCATCCCCACACCCACTTCAGAACTGTGACACTCAACCTGGATTTACTTTTAGTGTGCCAGGCTCTGCAGGCCACCCCCATGAGTACTGCCTTTGTGAGCCGAGCACTTCATTTACAGGCCTGCTGGTGTATGTTGAACAACTAAGAGTTTCAATCAAATCTGCAGGTGAACAGGTGATACCACAGCTTGGGGACACTATCAATAACCAGAATGTTAGTTGTAGCAACAGTTAACTGTTTCGAGGCAGATTAAAGAGGGTATAATCTGTCCTTGAGTTACCATGAATATATAGGCAAATGTCCATAAGAGGCATGGGACAAGGACTTCCTGACAAAGACCAGCTGGTAAAATAATCCAGTAATGAATATTTTTGGTAAACAACGCTTAATTTGCTTTTCTGAAAAACTAAGACAAACTAGATTATGTCCAGTACAGGGCACTAGAACCTGGGACACCGGCCACGTATCCACATCCTGAAGTCATATTGAAGTCCAGACCCTTTTAAGAGAGCTCCTATCCCCTTGGGCCTGTTTTCTCTGTACTGTCCTGCAAAGGGAGTTCTTGGGAAGCTGGGGTTCCCCACCACCCTCTTCTTTCAGGAGTGTTCTAGGTGTGGCTTGGGAGATAGTGGGAATGCCAGTATGTAAGACCACACCTGAGAAGAGAACCCCTGAATACTCAGGAGTCAAATACTTGCAGTCCATGCTGGTGTCCTCTCTGTGTGACCTGGGGTGGTTTCTTTCAGGTGGCTGCTCAGGCTTAGCCTTCCAGCATCATGGAGCCCTTTTTGGGCTCCTCTGATGGCTTTGTGTAATGAATAGATTTAATTCTTTTGAGAGTACATGTGTTCCTCTTACATAAATAGGATGTTGATTAATCCTGGCCTTAACTCACTGGGACATGCCCAGAGTTTGAGTCCCAGCTCTGCTTCTCACTGGTTGTGTAACATTTAGCAAGCTGCTTAACCTCTCTGAAGCTCTTATGTCTTCATCTATTAAATGGGGATGATGATGGCACCAACCTCACAGGGTAGTGGTGAGAATATACAAGATGTTACAGATAAAGATGTTATCAACAAATGGTATGCAGTAGTGTAAATATAATCGAGTATTAGATCAAATATGCAATATGGCTACAGTGGGGGTCCCTGAGAGCAAATTGATGTCCTCTATTGGAAAAAAAAACCTTCAAGCTGCAGACAGAGAGTAGGCCCAAACACAGCCTGCAGCAGTTCCCAGGGCCCTTTCCCTGGATGTGGGGGCATTGTGGTATCTTCTTTACTGCAGGTGGTCTTTGGGTGTGATAGGTGCTCCCAGCTCTTGGTACTGGTAACTGAGGACTAATGTGACCTTGCATATGGAAGGAGTGATGGCTGCTGGACCCCTGCCCAGCTGGCCCTGAAATGAGAAGATGGACTGACTGTTGCCAGCTTTGCTGGGGGATAGGGTGGCAGGGAACAGAGTGTGCTGTGGTGGTCCAGTAGAGTTTCCTGGGAGAGCTAACAGGTTGAGAAAGAAGGGCTTTGCATTTTCCCTAAATTCTGCAGGGCTGGGGTTGGGGAAGAGCTACTGGGGGCTCTGTATTTAGGTTAGTGCAGTTTAGTGCTTAGGCATAGGGAGAAGCCAGATGCCTAGACGGTGCCACCTTATAGGTCCCTGTCAACCCCTCCTCACCACCACAGAAAGGCTCTGGAATTTGTTCACTGAAGGTGACGGGGAGGTAGTGGGAGTCACGGGGCTAGGGAGAGGGTAGATGGAGGAGACAACTAAGCCTGGGGCTGAGTTCCCATTGCTGTTGCACACCAGAGAGAGGGGCCTTTAAGCTCCTCATTTGGAGGCCTTCATCTGTCAAATGAGGAAAGCACCTGAAAGGATTGAAACTGGGGTAGGATGGGGTGGGGTGGTATGACATGGGGGCTGCCAAGATTGAACAGACTCAGGAGCAGGGCTAGAGTGGGCAACTGCAAGCACCCAAACTCAGTGAGAGTGCCATCTATGTCCACCACAGTCAAACCTCTCCAGGGCCTAAGAGGGATGGGTTAATTTACCCAGATCATGAGTCATGAGGCTGATGCTAGGGAGGCTCCAGGCTCCACAGCTGCTAGGCTCAGGGAGTCTGCATGTCTTAAGGCCCTCTGTATGTGAGTGTGGACTCTGGACCCTTCATCTGGGGCTTGGTGGCAGACAGCAGGTCTAACAAGGAATGGCCCAGGCTGGTGAAGAATGGCTTTGGCAGGGAAAGGCAGGAGCAGCTGTGAACAGGGGAGTGTATTGGAGAGGGCTCTGTTCAGTATGAAATACCAGTAGAGGGTCAGTAATCCTTCTGGTGAAAGGGCACTAATAGTTGGGTAAGGATTCCCCATGCGATCCTGGTATTGTCCCTGCTTTGCTAGGGTAGGAAGCTGAGGCAAGCAGAAATATAAATAATTAAATCTCAGTACAGTTGAGAAGGCAGGTGTCACATCCTCAGAATCCCTTTCACTAAGGTCTGAGAACCTCATTTCTTCCCCTGGCTTGTTCCCTCCTAGGGGTACTAGTGGGGCACAGTAAGACACTGGCATCCAATCAGGACAGGACATGCTGGGAAGAGGGGGTGTGTGTTCAGAGCTTCACTGTGTGAGCTAAGAACAAAGCAGCAGGAGAGGGCTGAGGTAGAGTATCCTGTCCTCATAGTCTGAGTGCAGCACCCACCTGAGATTGTCCAGAGACCTGAGACAATGTTACCATGATGATGCGACCCCTCCACAGACTAAGAGGCTCTAGGGCTGTCCTCTGGTCATTGGTCCTGGCTGAACACCCCTGTGGCTAGGCTCCAACCCCTTTCCAAAGAGAGAGAAGGGCAGAAACCAGCCACTGCATAGGCACTGCTCCTGCTCCCTGGGAAGTGGCTGTGGGATTTGGGCAGGTCATGTCAGCCCTCTGGCACTGCTTCCTCATTGGTTATAGTAGGTGGGAAAGGGGCCCTCTAGGTCTTCACCAGCATCCATGGCCTATGATTCTGGTGCTGGAAAGGCATCTCCAGCCCCACAAGTGTGTGTGTGGGCAGGTGGGGGTGGTGGTGGTGTAGGAGGAGTCTGGGGGCAGGTGCTCACTGGCAGTGTGACTTGAGAAAGTCAACTATCCTAACTGTGCCTCAGTTTCTAGACACAAAAGCTATGTCTCCCTTCCTCCCCCTCCATCCAGCCTGGCAGGAAGCATGACAATGTCTGATCAACAGGGTCCCTAATGCCAAGTCACAGAACAGCATCCAGCAGGCAGAAGTGACCAGCCCTAAGATAGAAACTGCTTTACCACACCCATTCCTGTGCTCCATCCCCCCTTTGTGAGGAAGGTCCTCAGGCCACTGTGGTGATCCCAGAGCAGCAGCAGGGAACAGAAGTACCTTCCCTGGATTGCAAGCAGCACTCAGACTCCTGAAGCCCTGGAAGGCAGCAGCCACCAGCACTGAGGGCCTTGGTGCCCTGCCACTGCATGGTCTGCTGGGATTGCCCAACCAGGACTGTTTTTCATAGATGACGCCCTCCCCCCATCCCTCACCCCCACCCCGCCCCAGAATGAGAGGAGGAGCTCATAGCATGCCGGCCCCCTCTGGCAATCTTGGGATGGTGCAGAAGGGAGGGAGACCCTCTTACTTGGGGACAGGTCCACCGTAGTGCTCAAGATGAGGCTGCAGAAGGCAAGCAATGCCCAGGCTGGCTGCTGCATGGCTGCCTGGAAGGCAGTGCTGGTTGTTCGCTGCTGGGAAGCTAGGAAGCATGGTTGTGGATGGTGGGGCGGGGCCCTGCAAACTGTCCAGGCCTGGGTGGGTGGGCGTGGCTGCCTGCTTTGTTACAGGGCCGGAGGTGGTGGTGGTGGTTTCTTGCAAAATCATTTTGACCAGAAGCTCTTCAACTTCACATGTACAGGCAACACAGTCAACCACTTCCTTTATTCAAGTTTCCAAACTGCAGTTCTTTGCAAGGAGGGGAGGAGGAAGAGAATAAATGAAACATGTGAACAAAACCACTGTAACCTTCTACCCTCAAAACACATGGAAGAGATGTTGCATTAAAAAAAAAAAAACTAGTGAGGATTTTTAGAAGCCAAATCACTTTGATTTCCTCCCCCAAACCATACTTTTCAGGTCCAAGACTCCAGTTTTTTGAGGTTTTGAGTGGGCCCCTGCAGGAGACTCTCTGCCTGCTGGTGTGAGTGGACATCACCCCTACCTAGAAGTGAGCAGGAAACAGGGTGCAGAGTGCAGTTTCAGTGGGTGAACATGGTCAGGGCACATGCTGCCTCTAGTGATCTCTGCATTTGGAATCAGTAAAAGAGCAATGTTTGCTGATTGATGGATCATGGCCCATCTTTGGCTCAAAGCTGGTGAAGGAGAAGAAAGAACACACGTGTTTGAGCCACCAACAGAATGCCTGTTTATGTGACAGCTCAGCTATTAGAAGTGAGGCTCTAAAGCCAAATGGCCCAACTTTGTTTAAATCCAGCTCTAACTGTTACCTGGGTGACCTTAGATGTGGGACAGCCTCTATGCTTCAATTTCCCCCTGATAGGGTTGTGGTGAGAATTTGGGGACTTTCTTAATGTAAATGCTCAGGGCCTGGATAAAGCAAACTGAATGGGCAGTTCATGAGCAACACAGGAAACTGAGTCTCACTACTCCCAGTGCATGAACTGTACCCCCTGTGGTGGTTGGATAGCATGCTCTCTGAATCAGGACCTGCATGTTAACACCACCCAAGGAAGATCTTCTATATGGATACTACCAGGTTTTACTGGATTCTAGGCAGGGGATCTGGGTTTGTGTGACTTGGACAAGCCATATACCCTCTTGGAGTACCCTATACTGCTCCAGGTTCCTGGCTTCCATGAGGACTGTTATCAGCAAAGCACATTTAGCACAGTGTGTGGTAGATGGTAGCATTGATAAACCATGGCTACTGTGACAGCCAGCACATTCTGCTGGGCCTGTTCTGCCAGTTCTGCATACTCACCCTCTGGCTATCAGAGGCTGTGGCATGAGGACTCCAGGGTGATTTCTCCTTGCCAGGCTCTGGACCCTGATTATATGTGCCATGTCTGGGATTCATCCCTGGTAGGGGTCTGGGATGGAAGAGGGGCAAGTGCAACAGCACTGGTGTCTGCCCAACTCAGGTGGCAGGTTATTTTTAGTACTGTGGATTCTTTTCACTTTCAGAAGCATTGGACAAGGTTCAGCATGGTTTTGGGGACTTTATCCAGTCACTGTATCTTCTTCAGTCTTTGGTCCTTTAATCTGTGAATGTGGGTGACAGTCATCCATATCCCCGCCCCACAGCTCTCAAGCTTGTGGGGCAAAAGTACAGGGATGTCCTTAACAAGTCACAAAGTACCTTTTCAGGAAAGAGCTAATGTTGCCTCAGTATTGTTACAGTGTTCTCCAGGAAAAGTGTGTGTGCATGTGTGTGCATATGCATGAATGGTATCATATATATAGATGTGTGTGTGTGTCTGTGTCTGTTTGTGTCTTTGTGTATATGCTTATGTATCCAGTCTATTTTTGTTTCAGTCTGTATATGGTTTGAATGTGAATGTGTGTGTTTTTCTGAGTGTGTGTGTGCTTATGTGCATATATCTGTGTATTTGTATATGTATGTTGTAATGATTAATTTTATGTGTCACCTCAACTCGGCTGCTCAGATATTTTGTTAAACATGATTTCTGAGTGTGCTTGTGAGCATATTTCTGGAGGAAATTAACATTTACTTGGTACACTAAGTAAAGCAGATTGCCTCTCCAGTGTAGGTGGGATTCATCCAGTCAGTTGAAGACCTAAGTAGAATAACGAGCTGAGTAAGAAAGAATCCTCTCTTCCTGACTGTCTTCAAGCCAGGACATCAGTCTTTGCTTTCAGACTCAGACTTAGATTGGAACTTACACCATTGGATCCTGCTTCTCAGACCTTTGGATTCAAGCTGGAAGTATACCACTGGCTTTCCTGGGTCTGGACTTCTTAGCCTGCATTGTCAGAGCCAATTCCTTATAGTAAATCTCTTTATACACACACACACACACACACACACACACACACACACACACACACACTGTCTCTGTATTTTCTATTGGTTCTGTTTCTCTGGAGAGCACTGACTGATATGTTTGTGCACACATGTGTTTGTGCCTATGTGGGTGTCTATGTGTAAGCATATATTGTTTGTGTATCTATGTCTCTTTGCTTGCATATCTGTATGTTCATGTGTCTGTGTGTTCCTGTGAGTTACAAGTTTTATGCATGTGTGCATGCGAACACATGTGTACACATGTGCAGGTATGTGTGTATGTGCACATGTGTGATCGTGTGTATGTGTGCTATGTGCACTATTTCTGTTCTATACAAGGCATTCCTAAAGTGCTGCAGGGTGATGGGCTCCATACTGAGTCTCATTCATTCATTCATCACTCATCTCTCCTTTATCATCTTGCTACTTGTAGTGTAGTCCCTGGAACAGTGGACTTGATGGATATGCAGATTCTCAAGCCCCAATAGACCTTATAAATCAGACTCTCTGTGACTGCAGCCCAGGAATCTGTTTTCATAAACTCTTTAGGAGAATTTTTGCCCTCTAAGGTTTGGGAAGCACTGATTGAACCCATTTTATTGCTCCTCCTGTTCTCCTTTCTTGAGGATGTGCATAATGTACTTCTGTCCTTCATGCTGTGTCCACTGCTGGACTTGGTCAGTTGTCATCTCACCATGTGAAGAACATGGCTTTGTCCACTAATTGGTCATAAAGTAGGTCTCCTCCATGAGATTCCTAATCCCCAAGGTTGTGAATGGATGCTGGAGGAACACAGGGTGGATTGGGGAAACCTGGCTAGATGAAGTCAAAGTGTGTGCATGATCCTCTGCACTGGAACTGGTCATACCCCCAGATCCATCCCTCTATTGGTTGTAAAAACATAGAGTCTGGTTTTGCCAGAACCTCCAGAGCCAGGACTTCTAAGATGCAGCACACATAGCTGGGAAGCCTCTTATCGCTGGCTCTGTGAGCAGAAAGTGCTGTCTCCCTAATTTGAGGTGTTAACAAAATTATTGACCTTAGTGGTGACAGGGTGGTTTGGTCCCCTCTTCCCAGGGTGGATCTCCTAAAAGCTCTTCTGTACCTTCTCTTGGGGTGAAAAGGAGGCAGGTGCAGTTTATGTGACAGGGACCCTAGCTATTCAGTTTCCTGGACTCTCCTCTGACACTTATCCTACCTGCCATTCCATTTTGTTGCAGCTCATGATGTGTGGAGGCAACTTTCCTCACAAGTCCCCCTGTGTGCCACAGATGAGAGTAAACATGACTGAGGCATGATCTGCTTGGGAAGGAGAGGTGGCCAGTTTCCCAGAGGAAAAAGGCCTTGAGCAGTGGCCAGTTTCTCAGGGGAAAAAGGCCTTGAGCAGTGGTCAGTTTCTCAGGGGAAAAAGGCTTTGAGCAGAGGCCAGTTTCTCAGGGGAAATAGGCGCTGAACTCTCTCCTCTAGGGGCTTTTATTGGGTTGTGATACACAGGAATGCAGGGTGGCAAGGATCAAACAGTAGATAACATTTCAAAGAAATCTGAGGGCTTAGTCTTAGTCAGAGTCTGTCAGGAACAGAGTTTTAGGGTTTCCTGCTCGAACCCTTAACATATGAATGAAAGCACCCTTAGCAGAACAGATTTCACAGGTTTATCAGCAGGTGTTTTTGATGCCATATTTTCCCCCAGGACATGCTCTAGCAAGGCAGGGAGCTGCACCTTTCCCCAACAGGTATTCAGGCTTAAGGGGATTAGAGCCAGGAAGCGCTTCTTCCAGGGGACATAGAACTTGGGCTTTGTCAAAGCCAGGGGGCAAGAGTCCATTGCTCTTTGTTGCAGTCCCCCGAGTCTTTCCATGATGGCCTCCCAAGTGGTAGTGTCTGGCCTAGGTTGCCCCTCCTCTGAGGTGTCTTGCCTGTCAAGGACTTCCAACCATGCTTTGGGGATAGGGAGGAAACTGAGGCAGCATTTGCTACCAGAGACAAGCTTTGTCTCCTGGGGCTCACATTCCATAGGTCACTGACTCATCCTTAGCCACAGAGGGTCGAGTTACAATTCCTAAAACCAGGCAGAGCGTCCACAACAATAATACATAGCTGGAGGCCACACAGTTGATTCAAACACATTAAATTTTACTACAGAGGGCACATCTAGGCACAGACAGCATTGCTGTGTGAACTTCTCGGCAGACCCTGTTCTCAGGGTACTTGACTTGTTGCCTCTATCATGGATCTCTTTTTCTAATTTGAAAGGAAAATTCAATGAACTGTATCCAGCTATTGTGTGGGTTATATACTGCTGCATAAAAAATGACCACAAATTTAGCAGCTTAAAACAGAACAGGTCTATTAACTCACAATAATTGTGGGTCGGGATTGGGGCACAGCCGAGCTGGGTTCTCTGCTTCAGGCTTCACCACACTGAAATCTAAGTGTCACCAGAGCTGCATTCTCATTTGAGGGCTGAACCAGGGATGATCCCCTCTCAAGTTCAAGTGCTTCTGGGCAGCTGTCTGTTCCTAGCTCTGTAGGCCTTCCCAGTGTGGCCCTGTGCTTCCTTAAAGCCAGCAAGATAGAGAGAGTATCCTAAAAAAATGGGTTACAATCTTATGAAGGTTATCATGTAGGTGACCCCCTGTCATCTTGGCTAAGCCATTGTTTAGAAGCAAGTCACAGGTCCTGCCCTCAGTGAAGGGGACAGTGCCACAGACCTGCATACAA